GTTTAGAAAGCCCGCTCTGTTCTCAACCCCCTTCTTCCCCTTCGGGGAGGGGTTTACCCCTCCCCCTCACCCCTCCCCCTGGGCCTGGAGAGGTTCCTCCGCGGGTCGTTGGGGGGGGGGGTCATTTTCGACTCCTGGGAGGGCTAAAAACGACACCCCTCACGAGGATTCTGGCCCCGACGGGGGGAGGGAGAAAAAACCCTCTCCTCTTCTGTGAAGCCAAACTCATGGATTTTACTACGGTTTTGGCCCCATTTTGGCCTTCTGAGGGGGCAGCGCTAATTAAAGCTCCCCTCTTCTTTCAAGCCAAAACCATTGATTTTACGAAGGTTTTGGTCTCATTTTGCCCTTCTGAGGGGGCAACGCTAATTAAAGCTCCCCTCTTCTTTGATCGATTCCCTCCAAGATGGCCCCAAGAAGCGCCCAGGAGGCACCAAGAGGCCCCAAGATGGCCCCAAGAGGCCCCCAAGACGCTCCAAAAGGGGACGAGGTGCCCGAACGCCTCACGCCACGAGGAGCCCGAACGACTCACACCAGGACGAGGGGCCCGAACGACTCACACCACGAAGAGCCCGAACGACTCACACCAGAAGGAGGGGCCCGAACGACTCACACCAGGACGAGGCGCCCGAACGACTCACACCACGAGGAGCCCGAACGACTCACACCACGACGAGGGCCCCGAACGACTCACACCACGAGGAGCCCGAACGAGTCACACCAGGAGGAGGGGCCCGAACGACTCACACCAGGACGAGGGGCTCGAACAACTCACACCACGAGGAGCCCGAACGACTCACACCAGGACGAAGAACCCGAACGGGTCACAGCACGAAAGCCCGAACGACTCACACCAGGAAGAAGGGCCCGAACGACTCACACCAGGACGAGAAACCCCAAACGACTCAAACCACGAGGAGCGCTTTCTCTCCCTCCTCCTCCGCCTCGTCCTTCTCCCGCTCCCCCCACAAGGAGGATGTCCAAGGAGGCGGGAGGAAGGAGGAACAGGGGAGATATGCGGGGGCAAGCGGACACACGCCTGAAAAACACGACTGTCGGCATGCTTCGCAAGAGTTGCTGTTGTGAGATGGGCTGGTGGGGATACGCGAAGCGTAAAGAATTTGGTTTTCTCTTTGCCAACGCTCCCTCCCTATCCTGCTGGGAGGAACGGTTTACCTCTCCACCTGCCCCTCTCCTTGGGCCTGGAAAAAGGCGCACCGCAGGTGGTTACAGCGTTCAAGATGGCCAACAATGGTTCCAAGAGGGCCTCTGAGAGCGCGAGCTGGTATCCCACATTGCCCGAAATAACCCAATATGGGTCAACATGACATCCGATACACATCCAAGAGACCCTAAGACGGCCCCGAAACGGTTTCAACTGCTCTTCGAACCACCTAAGGACCTCCCCCTGACGCCAACACCGATCCAATACCAAAGGAACATCAATATTTCTCGCGTTTTCGCCTTGCCGTTTCCGATGGACTTATGTACTTCCATATGACCCCCAAGCTGTCCCAAGATACCCCCACGAGGGTATCATGGGGGCTCCACGAGGGCCCACGTAGCGCCCCGAATGACATCCCAAACGCAATTTTTGAGCCTCCGAAAAGGGGGGGCTGAATTCATTACTCCCCTCTTTTTGAACTACGGGGCCCGAAGAGACCTCCCAGACCCCCCCAGGCCCCCCCCCTAAAACAGCTCCAATATGGCCCCAAGGCGGCCGTCCCAAGACGCTCCGCGAGGACCCCGCGAGCGCCCCAAAACCGTTCCAAAAGACCTCCGCGAAAAAAGCTTCCAGGGCGGTTGTTGCCCTGCACTCTTCTACGCTTCCCTGATCAGAGCAACTCGCCAGGCGATCTGCTTCTCGATGGGCTGGCGGGGATTTTCTGTTTGTGCTCGGGCGAGCGAGGACGAGCCGAACGCTGTGCAAGCTAAGGCGGGCCGCGCAGAAGCAAAGGGGGGAACAACGAAGCGAGCGGCGGCTGGCGGGGGTACTTTTTGGCCAGCGGGCGCGCGAAACGAGTCGAGCGCCTAACCTGCTGCGGCGGGCCGCGCCGGTAGCGTAATGAAAGGCGATGGGCGACGGTCTGCGAAGGGCCGCGAGCCGACCGGGCAGTGGGCGGCAGAAAAGCGCGCCGAACACGAAGACCTGTGCATGAGCGTGGCGAACACGAAGTGCCCGAATAGCGTGAAAGCAAACGCGAAGTGAATAGTTTACCGACGAGACGAACTCCACAGTGCCAGCGAAGAGGACGCAGCCAAAATGGCGCGGAGGCCCGCGGCCGAGGAGGAGGCGGTGCGGATGGCCGCGAAAGGCTGGAGAACAGTGACCCAACAGCCATGTCCGAGCCGCCTCGCCGTGCAGGGTGACCTTCGAGGGGCAACCGCCAATTCCCGAGCGCGATCCAGCCGCTGGAGCGCCACGCCGGCAAGTGAAGACGATCGCAAGTGAGAACCCAGGCGTGCCCGACTCCAAAGATCCTTGTCGTGCAGGTAGGACTTCAGAACCGTAAAATGAGACCTTGCGATTCACGTGCGCGGTTCGAGGGCAATGGGGGAACCAGGTTACCGCGTGGCGGCGCAATGACCCAGCAGCCAAACCAAACATCCCAAGCCTTGCCGTGCCGGTAAAGCTTCAGGGCACCGCGCCAGAGCCCCGCGAGCGCCCAAAAGCTGGACCGCACCAGGCCCGTGCAAGTGAAGGCGACCACAAATGAGAGCCCAAGCGTGCCCGCCGCCCAGGAAACCATGTCGTACAGGTGGGACTTCAAAGCCGTGGGATGACACCTTGCGAATCAAGTGCGCGGGCCTGGGGGCGATGGGAGTGCAGGAAACGACGAGTGGGCGCCGTCTGTCGGGTGGCCCGAGGATCGAGCGGCGGGGGGCCGTGGGCCAATGCCCGCAAGTGCCTGCCAAGGACCGTGCCGCCTAGGGCGCGGCGGCCACTGCCGGGGTGGGGCAGCGCGCCCAGACCACCAGCGTGAACCCTTGCGGCCATCGCCTGGTGGGGCGGACGGGAGCGCGGCCCCTGGGGAGCTGGTGCCATGCCAGTAGGACCAACAGAGGGTGTTCATGGGAGGCAGCTGATTGCTGCAAGCGCGCGACTGTCCTCGGCGAGGAATGCCCGCAGTAAGCAGCTGATCGCTGCAAGCGTTCGAAGGTCCTCGGCAGAGGAATGCCCGCGATCAGCAGCTGATCGCTGCAAGCGCTCGTAGATCCTCCGAAGGAGATTGCCACAACAAACGCAAAACGCGCCAGAGAGACCCCGGGGAAGCAAGAGCGAGGAGACGACGAGGGAGGGGGGGGGGGGGGGCGAAGAGGCAGCTGATCGCTGCAAGCACAAGACAAGAGACCGCCCGGGGCGGGGCGTGGAGCGGATGATGCGCGAGGGGTCGTGGAGAGTGGTTGCCGCTGTTGCGATTTGTCTGTGGATGGTTCTTCCCAGCCGTGGCTGCGTTTGCCCTGCTTGCCGCTTCGCACCGCGGAGGCATCGCGGTCTAGCCCTTTGCCTGGGCGCCCGGCTTTGCCCCGACCGTCCGTCGCGAGGCCCCGGCGCGGGGGCGTCGAAGTTGGTCTGGGGTCGGCGCTGCTGGTCGAGAGCGGGCGTCGTAGCCGCTCTGTCGCCAAGCGGCCTGGAAGTCTTCGCAGGCGGCCTTGGATTGCAGATGTGGGTCAATAGGGGCAAGCCCGGCCCGACATGCCTTGCGCGCAATCCCACTGTGCCGGACCCTTTTGAATGCGGGTCCGAGTTCGCTTTGCATCCTTTAAATAAAAGGCGGGGTTGCTCTCGGCCGCGCCCTGTGCCTCTACGAAATGCGCGTGGGCGTCTTGTGCATCTGGTCGGCAGCCTGAGTGCGACAGCCGGTTGTCGTGAGGGGGTTGTCGGCGACGTCGCGCCAAACTCTTCGAAGCCACGTGCCAACGGCTTCGCTATTGGGAGTCGCGCGTGCGGCATGGCCCTGTCGCTGGGCCCCGTGGTCCCACGTCCTGTAGTTTGATCAGCTCGAGCCGTTGCTCATGGGGGTACTTTTTTGTCGCGACCGCAAGCGAAGGCGCCAGCGGCGTCACAAGTCGGCTCGGGCTACGAGCAGAACTAATTGACCTGGCGCGCATTGGCAACTGTAGGGCCACCGCCGGGGGGCGATGGGCTGCGCCGAGGGCTGAGGCTGCAAGAGCTGCCGGGGGCTGCCAGGTGGCCAAGCAAGCGTGCGGGCATCCCAGGGATGAGATCACCGAGATGGACGACTAGGACCTTGTCGCACTGGGCGCCAGAGGTCGACGCGCCACAAGCGTGGCAAAGCACGGGGCTGCATGAACAGACCAGCGTGCTAGGCAGCAAGCCAACGGGGGTGAACACACATGGCCGACCAAGAAGGCTGAACCACTCTTGAGTAAGCCAGCGGGCCAACATCCCATCGGACCAGCCAACGGCAGACGCAGCCAGGCCGTGGCGGTGACTGGAGACCAAGGGCCAAGGAAGTGCAAGCACTCGAGCCAGAACTGGTCAAGGCGCGCGTCGCCAGAACGCCAGGGTGCCTCGCCCGACTACACGGAACCATAATGAGGGCCACGCGGGCGAGGGACAGAGCGGGGTCGCAGACAGCCGACGGCTGAGGTAACCTGAACCCAGGAGCTCGCGACAAGGCGCGTGCGTCGAAGACGCCGCGGAGAGGTGTGCCAGTGCCGGAGAAGCCGAGCCAGGCTGTGGCCAGGTCCGAGCAAAGGCCAGGGTAAGAGCATGTAGAGCCAACGGCCGCGGCCGAGAGGCACGCCGCGCCCCGCCCCAGCAGGGGCCAGCGCCCCAGAGCTGCCCCCCACCCCGCCCAGGCCGACACGCCGCCCGACCAGTCGACTGCAGCCCCGTCCACGCAACCCCTCCAGCAACGGCGCGCTCTCCGCCGCGCGCGCCAGCAGCGGTCCGAGGGCCCGCGGCTTTCGGGAGGCCCACGGGCACCACGGAAGACAAGTCCACCACTGCACCAGCATCGGCAGCCCCAGCTTCAGCTGAACATGGCGACGTCGACCTGCCCCTCGCGCTGTTTACCGCGCGGGCGCACCTGGGGGCAGGGCCCAGCAAAACGTGCAGCGACGCAGCCCAGCCCCATCCGCCGTTTACCCAGCGCGTGCACGTGGGGGCCGGGTCTCGCGATCTATAACGCCCGCGCTCGGCTCCGAGACCTCCGCCTCGTGCGCCGCGCCCGCGGAGTGGGTCTCCCTGCTGTCGATTTCCGGGTCAAGGACGGCCGCGTCGAGCTGCCCCTGCGGCCCCAGAGCTCCGTCGCAGTCTCCGGCTGCGCGCCCGCCTGCGGGCGCCGCGCCTGCCAGGGCGCCCTGCGCGAGGATCTCGACGAACGTCCAATGGCAAACCTGCGATGCCCAGCAGTGGCGGCGGCTGGTGCCCGGCAGCGGGCCCCCGAGGGAGACGCGCTCGCGTCGGCCGCTGCAGCGCTCGGCGATCCAGCGGGCGAACTGCTTCGAGGCACGGGCCACGATCCAGGTGCGCCCGCGATAGCGGGCTCCGTCATCCCCGCCAGGACCGCTCGGCGCCCCAGATGGCGGGGTAGATGCCGTCGGGGGCCGGGTTCTCGGCCCGCGCGAGCTTGCCGCGGTCGAGGGATCGCTCGATGACCTCGGCGATGTCTTTGCCCGCCTCCTCCGAGGGGAGAAGCGGCTCGACGCCGTCGGGGTGCGCCGCCGCGCGGGCCCCGCCGTTGCAGCGTATCCAGGGGCGAAAGTTGGCGCAGACCGACTCGAGCCCGATGGCGTTCACCTCGCTCTCGGCGATGTCTTGCAGGATGCGACGCCGCGCGCCCCTGCCCCGCGCGTTGCGGTCCCCCCTGGGCCCGGTGCGCTCCAGCGGGTCTTGATAGCACTCGATAGGCTCCTGGGCTGTGAGGCCGCGGGCCCTCCAGGTCTGGGTCCAGTGGCCCGAGCCTGCCATGACCTCCAGCGCGACGAGCCGCTCGTCTGGCATGGTCACCGCGTCGGGGACGTCGCGCGCGCGGCAGCGGCGGCGGCTCCAGGCCTGGAGACCCCAGCCCGCGATGGTCAGCGCGGTGTCCTCGTTGGCTGTGGGGGGGTCGATGGGCGCGACGTCGCCGGCGACCTGGGCCGCCGCCCTGCCGCTTTTTCCGAAGGAACTTGCAGCGCTAGCAGGTCCTCGGATGGGGGATGAACGCTTCGGGCGCCCACTCCTTCGCCTGGTTGAGCAGCGCCTTCCAGCCGAGCGCTACGTAGTCGCACGGGGGGCTGCCGCCCCAGTTGTTGGCGCGCTGCGTGAGGTCGGCCAGCAGCGTCTGCTCGTCGATCTCCGGGCCAGCTCGGAAAATCCTCGCGCGCCTCCCGTGGATCAGCTGCCAGCGCTGTTTCGCCTGCGGGCCCGCGGCAGACCCAGAGACCCTCTCGAAAATGACGCGGCCCGGCGAGTCGACTCGGACGAAGTTGAGGACCACGTCGCCGAGCCGCTCCAACGGGAAGGTACGCAGACTCCGGCAATCTTTGTTGCGACGCGGGTGCGGCACGTCGCGGATGCACCCGCGCACCTCGCGCTCAGCGCGATCAATCCTCTCGGGGGCCTCTCCGGGAGCCCTTGTGGCCGCGGAAGCCTCTGCCCACAGCCCCTCGCGAGGCCCTCGCGCAACTTGGAGGCGAGGGAGCGCGCCGACTCTGGGCTGGGGGTCCAATCCGGGCCCGCTGCTCCGCCCCCCAGGGAGTCCTGCGCCAGGAAGCCCGCGGCCACGTGAATCAGCGCGCAGCATGCACTGGCGCTCCTCCAACTTGCCCCCACCGAGCTGCAGCGCTTTCCGTAGACCGCGCGACAGCCGAATGGTGTCGCGGTCATCGTACGTCGGGAAGGTCAGACCTGCGAGCAGGAGCTCGCCGCGCCTGTAGCCGTCGCCGCCAGGCCAGCTCGGCTGCGCGACCTTGGCGCAGCCGGGGCCCGACCCAACGCAGCCCTCACCGGCCCTTGGGATCTGGTCGAGGTGGTCGCCCGCCTCCTCCGCCAAGGCTGAGGGCCCGCTGTGCGCGAGCCTGTCGAGGATCGCGCCGATGGAAAGCTCCTCGTCTCTGAGGCTCCCGTGCAGGTGCCTGCCCTTGACGTAGGACTGGAGCTGGTCGGGGCCTTCCTTGGACCCTCGGCCTCTCGCCCCAGGGCAAACGCGGTTGCCGCGCGGCAACCTTCTCAATGTATTGCAGAGTGGCAGCGATGCCACGGTGCGCCTCTATAACACATCTGTCCTGCCCACGCTCAGTTTCGCCGCCCAGTTTTCCCCGCTGGATCTGAAAATTGCTCGACGAGAATTTTAAAGTCTCCACAAAATGCGCAGCATGCCGCCGAACTCTTGCCGCCAAATAGATTTCATTGCGATGGCGGAACGGAGTCCGCCCCCGATCCCACGTTCAGCCCAGGTCACTGCCGCCGCCTCTGCAATCCGATCGGCCTCTTCCAAGCTGCGCGGCGACTGGGGACCTTTCCGCGCCCGCCTCAAAAACATTGCGCGGGAGGAAAGCACGGTGCACGCCCACCACGGGTGGGTCGCAGGCCATTGGCCCCCTCCCTTCTGGGAACGGCCTGTGTCCATCGTGCAGTACTGCCACGCTTTGTCGCCTGGCCAACGCGTCGCCCTGTTTCCAGCCGCTGCCGCGGCCGCCGCGAACCGCCCGGTTGCGCGGGAAATTCGCGAGGCTGCTGCCGCCAAGCCGCTTCGTCGCCCAGAGGTGCAGCGCGCGGTCGCGCGAGCGCTCAGGCATGCTTCATCTTGCCCCTCCGTCACTCTTCACAAGCGCATCGCTTCGCGGGGCACCCAGCAGCCGCCGCCGCTTCCTGCGCTCACCAGGCGCTGGTCCGCTATCGCCATTGCCCTCGCAAAGGTCCGCCCCAGTTGGCGCTGGGTGGTCTTCAAAACGCTCAGTGGCGGCTGTACCACCGCTCACCGCATGCGCGCGCTAGCCCCGAGGCCATGCGCATTCGGGTGCCCGATGCACCTGGCTCGTTCCCCCACTACTTCTCCTGCTCCGCCCTCTTGAGCCTCTTTTGGTCTCCCGACGCCCCCCCCCGCCTCTCAGCGCGCTTGCGTTTTGGGGCTTGGGCCCCGCTGCTGCGCTCCCGTCCGAGCCTGAGCGCGACCTCTCGTTGCGCCAGACGATTCGCAGGGTCGCGCTGGCTTTCCACCTGCAATGCAAAATGAAGCAGTTCGCAGCGCCATCGCCAGCGCACAGTGCTGAAGCGGTGGCCGCAGCCAAAGCACTGTTGCGGCGATGAGCTAGGTGCTCAGACGGGACGCGCGGAGGGGCATCACTTGCCCGCTTCTCGCGTCGTGCCCGCCTGCCCTCGCCCCCCCCGCTTCAGGCGACTTGAACTCCTCGCTCCCGCCCGACTCCTCCACCCCATTCGCCGTCGTTGTGATAGTCGTCGTCGTCGTCGTTGTTGTGGATTGGTGCGCGAGAGGTGAAGGCCCGATCATCAGCATCATCAGCATCATCATCCTCATCATCATTGTCGTCGTCAGCAGCAGCATCAGAATCAGCATCATAAGTATCAGCATCATCGTCGTCCTCATCATCATCGTCGTCGCCAGCATCATCCTGATCATCATCACCATCAGCATCATCATCCTAGTCACCATCATAATCAGCATCGTGATCATCAACATGGTCAGTATTTACACGCGAACACGGTGCGTCTCGACTGATTTCGGCCGCTCGACCCAAGTCGTCTTCACCGCAATCTCGGCGGCTCAAGCTCCAAAGGCTCGGGCCGCCTCCCCGGGCGCGGTGGGTGCGGGGGCGGCTGCTCGAGCCAGGCCCCGAGTGCGCGGCCCAAGGGTTGTTGATCTCTGCGCGCTCGAGCTCGGCGCGCCCGCCCTCCCCGCAGGTCGAGCGCGGGGAATTGCGCGGTGCCGGTCTGTCCGAGCCGCCCGTCGCGCCGGCCCGTTGCCGGGGCTGTCTTTGGAGGGGGGGCGCCCCCGCGGCGCGGCGAGACCGAGCAGTTCTGCGCGGGGGCGGGGCTCGGGCCGTGGGCCGCGCTGACATTCTTGCTGGGGGTCGCGGCCGGCGCCGTCTTCGCGGCGCGCCTGCGCGTCGCGAGACGCGCGGCGCTGCAGGGGTGGACCGCGATGAAGAGCAAGAAGGAAGAGGGCGAGGATGAGCTGGGGCCGCGTCTTGCACAACGTGGACGGCCCGCCGCTCTGGCACCAGCGGAGGGCGCATGGCGCGGTGGCACGCTCGGGCGGTAAGCTGCACTCGGCGGCGACCCCCGACTCGCACGTGCGCGCCGAGGACTGGTCCGCTGCGTCGGCCGAGGTCGCGGGCGCGCGGCGGCGCGCCGACCGTCGAGACTTGCCGGCGAGCGCGGCTCGGGGCCGGGCGCGCCGCTGCAGGCGGGCGTCGGCGCGCAGCCTTCCGGAGGGCCGCCGAGGCCGGGGCGGAGTTGCGCGCGCTGCCGGGCGCCCAGGGCGCGCCGCTGCCCGCCGCGGACGTCGCGCGACCCACGTGCTTCTGAAGAGTTCACGTCGGTTTTGGCCGCCCGTGGCATGCTCAATTTTTCGCGCGAGGATGGCGAGCGAGTGGGGACTTTTTTCGCGACCAAAAAGAATGGCAAGCTCAGGCTTGTCATAGACTGTGGACGCTCAAACTGTCACTTCTCCGAGGCGGGGCGGGTCTCTCTCTGCGCCGGCGATGGCCTTGCGGCCATCGAGCTGGGCGCCGACGAAGAGATGTCTGTTGGCGACGCCAGCAGCGAGCCCGCGGCCTTCAGACGACGCGACGTCCTGCCAAGCACCCTCCTGGGGCACCACGGGCGGCACCGAGGCGCCACCTCAGAGAACCGCTGCGAACCGCCGCGGGGGCCCTGGGACCCCTGGCGCCACAAGGGCGCCGCCTGCGAGCAGCGGAAGAGGGGGGCCTCAGAGGGCCCCTGCGAACCCCCGCGGGAGCCAGCGAGACTGCCTCGGCAGCGAATGCCGACGCTTGATACCCCGCCTCGGACACGGGGGGAAGGAGGACCGACCTGGAGCGACGAGTCTGCGAGCCCAGCCATGGCAACAAAGGGTGTGGCCTGCCTGGGATCTTCCTCCCCAGGAACCACGTTCAGGGGCGATGGGGATTCCAATGGGCTGCCTTCCCCCTGGGTGGTCCACTGCGCCCGCGCGGACCTTTGGGCAGCGCGCTCGGTGCGGCCAGCCTGGGGCGCTCGAGAGACCCTCGCAGAAAATTCGAAACCCAGTGCTGGGGCTCACGGCGACCCGGGCCACAACCCCGCTGCTGGCGACGCGGCCGCAGCCTACGCCTGCCGCGACTCTGGGCGCGATGCCGCGGAGGGCGCCCGGGAACGGCGGAATGGAAGGCGCCAGCCCTATGCGCAGGCGAAGCGGACCAACGCGAGAGCCGTTCTTTTCTTGGTGGCTCAGGGCAAGGGCGCCCCCGCGGACAGACGACTCCGAGAACTCGACGAGCCGCTCCGCCGCGGTCGCCGCGCTCCGCGATGCCGAGGCGTGACCGAAGACGGCCGCCCCGCGCCGCCCCCCGCTGTGGAACAGCGCCGGGACGCCCCTGGCGGCCAGGCGCTCGTCGGCCCAGCCGCGGCGAAAGGCATGTGCGCCCCGCTCTGCGGCTCGCTCGAGCCCCCAGCGCGAGCGCCGCAACCCTTCGCAGGGCGTGCCTGTAGGACATCGCCGGGTACGCCCGGCCTTTGTGAACGCGGCCATAAAGCGCGCGCACTCCGCAAAGCTGCCGTGGCTGCAGGGCGCAGATGCACCGCCTGGACACGTCCGTTGTCTCCGCGCACGTCTTGCGCCTATGCAGATGCACGCTCGCCGTCGGCAGGCCGCCTTCAGTGGACAGGGCCACCTTGGAGTGGGGCCCGTCTGCTTGCAAGGGCACCGGCTCGGAAGCGAAACGGAAGCAGAACTGCCTGGCCACCGCGAAGGCATCCGCCGTCGCTGGGTCGCCCAGCGCCTCCCGGACGTGCTGCGCCAGGGATCGGGTCTGTCGCGCCGAAGCCCGCGCCTGGCAGCGCCGGGTGACCACCGCTGCCTTGCTCGCCCCGCGCGCCAAGCATGCCGTGTCCTCCAAGCACCCCAGCGGCATGTGGAGCAGCCTGAGCACAGTGCGGATGTGCGTGCAGTACGTCATCAGGCTGGCCCCGTTCTGCACTGCAAAAGCGAGCGCCTCCAGCGCAGGCTCCGCTGGGGGCCAGGGTTCCACCCCGAGGTTCCGGGCCACTTGCCCCCGCAAGCGCACTGGAGAGGCATGCTTGTATGCGCTGCGATGCCGCGCAAGGAACTCGCGCCTGAGGAGTTCCTTCGTTGCCATGAACCCTGCCATCTCGGGCCTGATATGGGCCGCGCGTTCCTGGGGGGTGCTGGGAATGACCCCGTGGCGCTTCTCCCGCGCGTGGAGCAATTCCTCCGGCGCGATGCGGCCCAACGCTTGCACCGTGTCCGCCAGGTCCCCGGGCGCCGCGACCTCGCGCCGGAAGCGTGCCGCGGCGAGGGGCCCGAGCGCCGCAAACGCCGCGCCGCCGACCTCTGCAGCAAGTCCCGAATCTGGCGCCTTGTCCCCGGGTCGCGCCTGATTACCTGCCCCTGGCGCTCCGCCAAGCGGGGGCGCGGGCGCGGCCCGCGGGCCCCTGCTTGCGCGGAGGGCGACGCCTGCTTCAATTCCTGGACGCCCAAAACGGAATCAATTCCATTACTGGCGCCGCCAGCAGCCAGCTCCCCCAAGACGCACTGGGGCGACTGCGGATGGCTCTCAGGAGGCGCGCGCCCGAGCACGGCGGCGAACCACTCGCTCGGGGCATGCGGGGCCAGCGGCGGCGCAGCCGGGCTTGCCGGCAACGCGCGCGGGGCCGGCGGGCCGCCGTCGCCGCTTCCCCCGCAGACGTTTCCAGTCCATCTTGGGTCTAATGGCTGCGGATGGTGGCGCGCACGGCGCGTCGGGGCGCCCCGGGCGCCCGCGGTCCATCGTTGCCCCCAGACGGATTGCGAGACGCGCGCGGCCCTCCGTTTTGGAGCCACTGAGAGGGCTCCTGGAAACCGCGGGGAGCGCCGCGGCGGACGGCTGACCGACGACGATCAATGGACGATGGACCAGCTCTTTTTTCCCCACATGCTTCGTGGGGTTCTGG